ATTATCAACAATGTCTATGATTGCATCATCACGGAACAATAAAAGAGTTTAATAAAAGTCTGTTGTTGTCGTGGCAATACATATGCGCTTATTAAATTAAATTGGATAGGCAATAAAGAAGATATATGAAAAAATGAAGTTATTAGTATATATATATATCAAAACTAGACGTACGATCTACTATAAGCAGATATATTATATAGTCCTGTATACATGTATAAATAAATCTTTACAGCAAGTTCTCAGGCCACGGGTTTTTATTGTGCATACATTATATGTAACGGCTGGTTCGCGATGATCCCAATGAACCAGCGTGAGGTTAAGTTCATTAATGCTACATACCCGACATCATTTACTCTGCACAAAGCACTGATATGACTTTTCAATATCTATATGACAGGTAACATCGACGGAGAACATGCGCTATATAGGCCTACTAATAACAGGAGTGAATAATAATAGATCAATCATAGATCTATCTATTCACACCTGCCAAGACGACGCGCTACTAATATGCACACGTCTAATAAAATATGTTAAAAGTATTATACCACGTTTAGAACTTCGATGTGAAATGTATAGCCTCGCCAAGAACTGACGTTGAAGAAGGTTCCATGATTTTTATATCGTGTCACTAATATCGACTCTGTTTCGTACATATAGATACATTATTTTTTTAAGTTGTTTTTAAGCTGCAGACCAGCCTAGCTCTCTGACCAATAGCCAGCATTATATATATACAGCTATAACTACCGTTGTTATTCTATTTTAAATGTATTCATACGTGCTAAAATTAAGCACGTACCAAGAATATTTGAAGGGCAACGACTACGAACAATAAAATTTGAAGGTATTTGTACATGCGTTGTTAGAACATGCGTTGATATACACTGCCACCGTCCAGTCCCCACACGAAGTTCGACGCTGAACTCACGCTCACTTGGCTGAGTGTATCGGAAATAGGCTCCCACTCGATTCCAGTCGGATTTGTATCATTTATACCTGGTGCATGGTGACAGAATAGTTAATTTATAAACGAGCTGGAAAATGATATACTAGTTACTGAATTTATCGTTGTATTACAAATCTATTTGAAATCGGAATATTGTTCGAAAGAATTATAGAGGACTTAGTAAGAACTACTACAAGAATTATGGGAGAACGTAAATCACTAGGTGCAAATACCGGTGCGTTTGAAGATATTGTTGTTTTCATCCACGCCCCACACGACACCATCACCAGAGGAAACCTGCTTCAGTGAGCCATCCACCAGTTCCCAGCCAGTACCTGTGCGGAAATATACTCATCAAACAATACACCCATCGAACACTCATTAGCCAGTCAACTAAATATGAATATCTGTTATAAGAACGAATGCCCTGCGCGTAAGAATCGATGACTCATCGGGGGGTTTCACAACCCGCCGCGCACGAGCGGAGAAAGCAGTAACAGATACCATCCGCCGGTGCCACCGCGTCGGCAACCATTGACACTGCTCATATCGCGGTATACTTGCCTTTTTTTCTTTTTCGTGTTTGACACGAGATCTACACACACGACACACAGATCACATTACACACTACGCGCTACACACGTAACGTCCGACATTTACATACCAATACAATATATCGCCCAATCTACACTTATAAATAACTCATCATTAATTAACACGAATTAAAACCAACTAATTACCATGAAGTCACTTTCTGTTTGTAGCGTGCATAAACTCGAACTTAATCACGTACCTTCACCTCCGATTCCGTTTCCGGTGCCGATTCTGTAGAAGACAACGTTCGCACTGTTTACTGTCCAGACTCCTGCCTGACCAACGGACACCACCTTGATCGCCTCTTGTAGTACGCCTGACCAGCCCACACCGACGTAATCGGTCGCGGATATACCCAGACGGCGGACAACTTCTTGACGATCGGTTAAGCTCCACACCTCGTTGTTGACGGAATTGACACTGATCCAAATGAAGTAACCGCCTACGTTTTCCCAGACAATTCCTATCGGGTTCGCATCAGATATGCCTGCAATGATCCGCATATATATGTTATGAGCCATTATGCATGCCTGCATGACGCAGAAGAACCGTGCCACGAGAAAACCACGTTTCGTCTTCAAAAACCGAAGAATTTGTACAGAATTAACTGACCCAAAAAATACACAAGCGTTATAACCTTCAACTCAGAATATACATCGTGTATCATTAGAGGTGAAAATATACCACGTCGATAAAAGACTTGAAGAGTTCGGTTGACGGCCCACACTACGTTGAAGCCGGAGCTTATTAGATTCGCTCCTCCGTCTAACACTTGCCACTCGGATCCGGCTTTCCCACCATTGTTCTGCAAAACGAACACTCATCGGCTGCCGCTACAGAGATATATGAACAACAATGAGGGGGAAACGACAGTGAGTCCCTGCGGCATGGTCTGCTTATTTAGAGTCCGTGATCCAATAGAAAAAATCCGGTAGCTAACGACATAATCGTCCTGACTTTAGCCGATGACGCTAAAATAAAACTCAACTCGCCGTAATTTTGCTCGATAAAGCCGTTTATCAAACGCAAACGAATCAAAAACACTTCTACGTCGCCATGTCGGATTTAAATAGCGGGCACACTAAAGTGAGCGGGCAGGAGTCAGCACCTGCTGTTTTGCAAAGATTCACTGCCGTTTTCCATCATATTGCTGTTCGTATAGTCCTATAACGGGAGCGAAGGGCCACTCGGCTATGGCTAGATACAAGACTGTAAAGACCCCCGCACACGGTGCGCATTCGGCGCGCGCCAGCCCGCACACGGTGCGCATTCCGCGCGCCGAATGCGCACCGCGTGCGTGTACCAAGCAGAGTGGGGTTAAATTATTATTGGGATACATGATTATAATTGTAATATAATATAATTATAACAATAATTATAATTGTACACATTTATAATCGTATCTGGGGTGGAGCTAGCCTCTGCGTGGCTGGCGCATACAAGACCGTAGCGACGCTTTCAGCGTCGGGAGATAATCCAAGGAAGCTGGAAAACGGCTCTTTTTCAGTTCTACTGCCAAACCGAGACCGTGTTTCGTGTTTCATTAAAGAGATATAGTTATAGAACAGTTATTCAACTAGTGGCAGGTTAGCTGCGTGGTGAATAGTTTGTGTCGTATTCTCCACCAGATTCAGCCGTTATTGTTACTGTTACACGGCATTAAACATCGAGTGTAATTGACCGGCCCGCCTAACCACGCAGTTTGTGCTAGGTGACGTCATCTAGTTCTGCTAGGTAGCTGATTGTTGCTAGGTCTATACTATTTCCACATTACAAAATTTTACACGTCGACGCCAACGCTACATTATATTATATTATATTATATTATATCACATTGATATCATGTGATATATTAATATAAATAACCAAGTTAATTGTTACTCAACCGTGCTGGTATGAAACGTACCGCTGACGTTTCGCCTCCTGTCAGGAAGCTTTCTCAAAGCTAACTGATGTTAATCAGTTTTGACCACCAGATGGTGTGGTGGTCAATAGCTTGGTCCACACGTGACTAAGCCTGTATCCCCCCTCGTCCCGGTTGATATTTGGGGTCTTGCGGATCCAGATGGCCTCCTTGATCCAACGCCTGATTTTGTTAGGCTCGCGATCAATGATCTGCGAATTCTCCCAATCGATGGTGTGGTTGTCCTTCGCTACATGATCAGTGATCGCGGATTTGGTAATTTCGTTAGCCGACTGTTTTCGTTGGGAATCCGCGAATTTCCGCGATCACGGATCATGTAGCGAAGGACAACCACACCATCGATTGGGAGAATTCGCAGATCATTGATCGCGAGCCTAACAAAATCAGGCGTTGGATCAAGGAGGCCATCTGGATCCGCAAGACCCCAAATATCAACCGGGACGAGGGGGGATACAGGCTTAGTCACGTGTGGACTAAGCTACTGACCACCACACCATCTGGTGGTCAAAACTGATTAACTTCAGTTAGCTTTGAGAAAGCTTCCTGACAGGAGGCGAAACGTCAGCGGTACGTTTCATACCAGC